GCCTCGTTGGTTCGTCGGTTTGTGCCGAGCTGAGTTAAGGGACCTATAAGCAATTTTATATGCCTACAGCATGTACCAGATCCTGTTGAGCAGATCTCTCGTCGCCGGCGACCTACTTCGCACCATAACGACTGGGCCGTAGTCCGTGCAGCCTACATAGACAGGTGGGCTCACAGGTGGGATTTCATCCAGGATACGAGGCCCACAGCTGTTGACTACACCGCATATATGGGTTGGTATTGGGATATCACACGTAGATGGATCACAGTGACCCACAGCCCTTAGTTGGACACATGCCACGGCCACCGACAGACAGTTACATCCCTAGTGGGATGAACGAGAGAGATTACGTAAGTTTCTAAGCTAAATTATAATATTTTTTTCTTGAGTTGGTACTTAATAAATTATTTACCTCACAGGTCCATGCTTTGGATAGCATTCAGGCTGATATTGATGCGACCGTGCCTGAGATTCAGGATCAGGTGGCGTTAGGGCTCCTCGGCAGGATCAAGAAGACCATAGCACAGGTGTTTCATAAGACTCACGTCGACGAGTTCGCAGGCCGTGAGGACAGGTCTCAATCATTTGGGCAAGCGTACACTCGGCGCCGACGACCACGTGACGATGACGGCGGCACTTCGCATGCTAATGGAGCCGGCACTTCGCATGCTGATGGAGCCGGAACTTCACATGCTGATGAAGCCGGCACTTCACATGCTGATGGAGCCGGCACTTCGCAGCCTCACACACAGCCGGATACTCAGATAGTCGAGGCTCATCAGCGCGGGGGGCGGGGAAGAGCGAGGGGGAGGGGGAAGAGAGGGAGAGGAAGGAGAGGAGCTATATTGGGTTGTATTTGAACTTATTTTGTTAAAATTTGTAAATTGTATGAATTTTTAAATACTATACTTTTATGGATCAATTATAGCTCGATATGTGATCTTTTTGCGTATTGTTTGATTCGTGCGTGTTTAAATAATATATATATTGCAGTAATTATTGTCAAACTCCACAGGAGTTCAACTCCCGTGGAGTTTTAACAATAGAACAAACTCCACGGGAGTTGAACTCCTGTGGAGTTTTAACAATAGAACAAACTCCACGGGAGTTGAACTCCCGTGGAGTTTATTGAGGGTAATAAACATCACGGGAGTTCAACTCCCGTGAAGTTTAAAAACGTACTAAACTTCACGGGAGTTGAACTCCCGTGTAGTTTCGTAAGGTTTTTTAGAAAAACCGACCTGGTTTCAGCACTGTCGCTGAAACCAGGTCGGTTTCTCTAAATAAAACTGAAACGGGTCTTTTTTTGCAATTAAATAATGAAATAGGTTGGTTTTGAAAATTTGTCCTTTATCACCCTC